TTTTTTTTCGCTTAACGAAATAAGCTTATTTTTTGGAGTATTTCTGTGCAAAAATTTTTTAATTTGCTCAAATCTTTAATTTTCTATGCCCAGTCAAAATACGGAAAATCGGCCGCCATCTTGCCCCACGACCGAGTTTAAAGAGGAATGGCTCTAGTGGGTAATGTGACGTCAAATCGAGAACACGAAAGTCTGCATCTCACACATTTTCACTTGTTTGGGAAGATTGTCGTCGATATTGTCCGAAATATGCCGACTAGGTGTGTTGTATGAAGAATGTATGAAGCGCGATACCCTCTTGCAAATTTCGCACGTTGCTACATCCTTCTACAACACACTTAGTCGGCATATTTTCGGACAATTATCGACTACAACCTTCCCAAACAAGTGAAAATGTGTGAAATGCAGACTTTCGTGTTCTCGATTTGACGTCACATTACCCACTAGAGCCATTCCTCTTTAAACTCGGTCGTGGGGCAAGATGGCGGCCGATTTTCCGTATTTTGACTGGGCATAGAAAATTAAAGATTTGAGCAAATTAAAAAATTTTTGCACAGAAATACTCCAAAAAATAAGCTTATTTCGTTAAGCGAAAAAAAATTTTGGGTTTAGGTGCACTTTAAAAGACAGTACTGCATTAAATTTCCAAAGAAAATAAATAAATTGAGTCGCACTTAAAAGTGCCGTGGACCACGCTTCGAATTACGACTATTTACACATCCAGTGCCATGGGAAAAAAAAAAAACATAAGGCTGTTAGTATTTGTCGATTAGAGAACTCGAAAAGTAGAAGTAGTACGCTTCTGTTATCTATTGCGACCTGACGCATGAAAAGATATACTTAGAATGAGCTAGGACTAAAAGTAAAACAATCCAGAGACCAAAATAATAACTTAATGATATGGTCTCGATTATTTTCATTTACAAACTGCATAGGGAAAATAATGATCATTATCATTGTTATGGAAGGGTCACACGTGTCTCGGCTGGTTCAGCCACTATGATGTTAGCCTTGCTTGCATGTTGACCTTGTCCTCTGCCCTTCCAAAGTTAGATCGTGTGATTTTCAATTTTCAAGTTGTAACAATGTCCATCTACATCTTTAATGCGGTTTAACTGCAGAGCTACTTGGCCTACCGCAAACACACACATGGCGTGCGGTGTGTTCTACTTCCCTCGAGGCCACCAAATTGTGTCGAGGATTTTAATCCGTACATGTGGCTTTACATCCTTTGTCATTACTAAAGCAACGGAGCTCAGTCTCCTTAACGACACTTGCTCACGGAAAAAAAATTATCTGACATGATCAACTCTGAGTTAAAATGAATCTTTTTCAATTTATCTTAGACAGTGACGTTGTCCATATGCAAAACTTCACATTGTTTGGCGATACACTTCATTTTCTAAGAACGAAATTAAAATGTTCAAGGTTCGTGCAGCCTAAAAAAATGGCCTATTCCGTATTGCCTGACTCAAATCGTACTCAAAATAAATATTAAAGGCATTAACTTTCCTCTACGACATTCAGTATTTGAATAATGCAAAAAAATATTTCCTGAAAGTTCCGTAAGCACAAATTGCTGGATCTGATCAAATTTGGAATTTGCATGATCACAGACAACAACGATGACTAATCTTATAGTTAAGCAATAAACCACACTTTCTATTGATTGTGGGAACTTACGTTTGATTAATTGAATATCACTGTAAGACCGCATCACGAAATAAATTGAAAGGCAACAGCATCGAACCGTGCGCACTAATTCAATCACCACCCGTTTATATTGTTTACTCGCGGCACACATTTTCCTTCAGCGAAATTAGTTTCCTCTGACTCAGCTTCAATTTCAAATTGAAGCTTTTGCGGAGTCCTCCTAAAATTTACAGAAAGTGCTAAAACACTTAAACTCTGCAAAAACTACCCAACATGAGCTGAAGTCGCAGACAGCAAACGGAATTGCCATAAACCTTGAGTGCACATTCTTTTAGGGGAAAATTTATTAATTTTTTAATTAATTTTTAACTTCGCCAGGAGAGATCTCACAGAACTAATGTTCCAGTAACGAGACTCCTAAACAACCCACCCATCCCACCCCAGGGGAGGACTTCCATCACACAGTAATCTCGTGTGTGGGAAATTAGCGCCTCCAACCCTCCATTTATTCCTCCCTATCCGAGAAGACCAGAATATCAAACCATTTCTTGATGTTATAGAAAGGTAGCAAATTCTTCTCAATTATTTTAAGACCCTGAGTGTTGGTCCGGCCGGGGCTCGAACCCCTGTGGTTCAGGTTTTGCTACAATTCAAGTGTTATTTTTCCGGTTTCGGTCTAGTTCTCGTGTTTTGTTCGTTCTTTGACACGACCGGCTGAGCTTTAAAGAGTGATGAATGAATTGGTTCCATTCAAATTATTCTACCATTGTACAAATTATGGCAGAAATATTGATTTATTGTCATTTATCGTGAAAATACTAGTTAGGGTTTTGGGACATAGTTAGTCGTAAACTTTTCATATATAATCATTTCCATTTATTCGGAGTCATTCGAGTTCTTTCGTTTTAATGATTAAAAAAAATATAGAAAAATCACAATAGTTTTTATTACATTGTCTTCATTGTGAAGCTGCCTATCGGTGCTTTGCTTGTTCAATTCTATAGTGAAACTTTAGGTAAATAAAAGTGTTGATGGTGTGATGTATGTAAATTTGAACAACGAGATCAGTCACAAACCTCTAGTTCTTTGTCGTTCTTTATTGTACACGTAAACATTTTAAGAGTTACCAAAAACTCGTTGGAACGTGTATATGTGGAAAAACAAAATAATTAAAAATCCATTTGAAAACTTATAAAACAATCTATCGGTTAAAAAAGAGTTAAAATTTGGAAAAATATTCAGCGAAGACAGAAACTATAAGAGCAAAGAGTAAAATAGATGAGAGAAAATTAATAATGATAAAATAACATTGACATATGCAATACAAAAACTAGTATGAAGATTTTAAGTTGAATCTATGAAGAGCCTTTTAATCATTTTAGGACAATCGGAGTTTCTAATGTACATTAGAACATAGCTAGGAGAGCCGCGCAATCAAATTCAGTATACGTAAACGTGCTCAAAATCCCGATAGTGCACGCTAATAGGGTGAGCAAATCGCTTCGCCAGAAATTTTTTTTTTCTGCGCGAGCAGCCATTGTTAGCGCGGGGAAAAATAATATATTTCGCGACAATGATGGATACAACAAGAGACTCGGCCTACTAGTACCAAAACGAAGACAATTTTTCAACCTTTTCCCTTGGGCTAGAGTTCTTAAATGAGGAAGAAAAATAGAAAAACAACGGAAAAGGAGAATCGCCGTCACGATTCGCTTCAGTTGATACTGTTGTCTGTTTTTCGCGTCAGATTTGATGCACAATTCCACCGGCTATGTTCTAAAACAATTGGTTCATGCTTTCAGCTGTGCACTATCGAGTTATGGAGCACGTGGGAAGTTTGGAGAGCACTCAAGAAGCTAGAGTTGCCCTCGGCTATCGCCTCGGGCAACTCTTACGCTTCTTTCGTGCTCTCCAAACTTCCCGCGTGCTCCATAACTCGATAGTGCACGCTAAAGCATGAACCAATTGTTAATT